TAGGACTTTGTCCTATTCACTTAAAGAAAATAAAAACACTTTAAAATGATTTTCTTCTTGTAAGTGTAAAAACATAAAATCAAAGACAAAGAAAATAAACAACAGAAAAGTTTTTTTTCACCAGGGTGACCCCTACACCCTCTTTCAGGGATAGATGTTCTCACCTCATCTTGATAGAGAGGAATCCTGATTTGAGAGAGGAGTAAAGGAAAACCTTTTTGTAAAGAGTAACTGCCTATCATTTGGGGGGAGGCTTTGTGTCCAATTGTCCCCCTCTTACAAGGCTGTTATTGAAAGTATATAAGCAGCCATCGGGGCACTAATAACTGGTCTTTAGGCTGATGGACCTCCTTTTGCGTGTGAACAAGTCAAACTGGTTGATCTGCTATGTGAAGGTACTGATAAGGCCGAGTTTATCTGCAACTCCTCAGACTGAATAAGGTTTTTGGATAAAAGGCAAAATGTTTCAACAAATACATATCTGTCCAGAGCACCTGACTCAACCATGTTAGCTCACCAAACAATACTGTTATATTGGTCTTAACATTATTAATAATACTTTCAATAAATTAATATATTTTTCTCTAACAGCTTCTGAAGGAAAGCATCACACAATTTGTGGAGACAGAGCTGAATAAGTTCCAGAAGGTCCTTGGTTCAGGTTACCAAGAATGTTTAGAGAATGAACCAATATTGGATGCTGTAGATGAGGACCAAAAGAAGACCAGCAGAGACTCGTTTCTAAACATTGCCTTGAACTTCTTGAGAAACATGAACCAAAAGAAACTCGCTGACAGTCTGCAGTGCAGTAAGATTATTTTAACTCATTTGATGTGTAAAAGAAAAAAGGTGACACAAGATGTGTTTTTGTTGTTCTCAGAAATCGCAACATTTGCCTCTTTTTAGGCATTTTATATGACATGGCAACCAAACACATTTGGCTTGATGGAGATAGGAACCAGTTCCCCTGTGACTGCCCTCTATTTCAAATTATCTTGAGTAGCTTTGTGCTGGAACAAGCCACAAATCTAACCCCAACTAGGTCTACCTATTTGCTACAGGAATGCAGCCTGACAATGGGAGAGATGTTGGTTCCAACTTTTTTGTACTCTAGAGTTGAGGCCAAGCACTCAAGTACTCTAAGGCCCCTCGTGTGTGTGTGTGTGTGTGTGTGTGTGTGTGTGTGTGTGTGTGTGTGTG